CTGAGGCATACCTGTGCCGATCAAGAAAGGCTTCTTTGTCGACGCGGCGCGTCCAGACTGCCCCGATCTGCCGACAAACAGCTGATCGGCAGAGCGGGGCAGCCATTTAAATTTAAATGAAGCCGCGATTATTTAAATCGCGGCTTCATTTCCCTCTGCCGATCTGTCTAATCTACATGCCTCTGCCGACAGAGGCATGTAGTCTAGACACAGCCTTTGAGTCCTATAAAGCAGTATCTCAGTTTTCCTTTATTGTTTAGCTGTTTTTTTATTTAGCTACTATTCTGTTTGTGAACTTAGTTCTTGTCACGTTATTGGATTGTGAGGGTAGCAGCCGGGTCACTGCTGCACCCATGAGGAGGGGGGTTGCCCCAAAAGTGGTATAAAGGGGGTCATGTGAGGGGTCAAACAAGAGCTTACTTTCTTCTGATTCTGTATCTGCTCTTCATATATCTGTATAATGTCTGTGTGTGGAGTTAGGGATCTGTACTCTGTATGGAGACTGGAAGTCTCTCTGAATGTGCTTGAGCGATGGGCTCACCCTATGGACATGCTAATTAGCAAGGTTCCAGGGACAATAGGTCCCTTAAGTACCCAAGACCCACCTATGAAGGAATCTAGGTGCCTGGTCAGAGACCATGTGACTCTCTCCAGCTTGGAAGAAGAGGGGGGGGGGAATATAAATAGGCCATGTGGCTTACTCCATGTTGAACTTCGATCTGCTCCTGACCCCAGATGCAGACTTGCAGGGGATCACAAGCCAGGAAGACCTGTGGACCCATCCTGACCTAGGATGTGCAACAAGGACTTTTAAGCCAGCAGCTATAACATCTCTGCTAGAGCCTGCATCGAGAACTGGGAGATTCGATGCATGTAATGTATGATACTTTAACAACCTCACTCTCGTGCTTTTCTTTCTCATAGTAATAAACTTTTAGATGGTAGATTCTAAATGATTGGCTCAGCGTGATTTGTGGGTAAGGTCCAGAGAGTAAATTGACCGGGGATCTGTGGCTGGTTTCTTGGAACCAGACAGAACTTGTTCGAGGTAGGTGAGATTGGTTCTGTGTATGAGACCTGTGTATGAGGCCCGGGGCCATCTGGGGCACAGATATTGCTTGGGGTGTTGGAGGGGTTTTGTTCATGAGGCTTCAGGCAGGCAGCTGAAGCGCTCTGTGGGACTGGTTTGTGGCCTGTTTGGGAAGGTCTCAAGTCTGGGGGCTGTAAAGAGCCCCGAATTTGAGCAATTCACCCTGAGCGGACGCCCTCAGCTGTGCCCAGACCCGACCCACTCTGTCACAAGCTACTATTCTGTTTGTGAACTTAGTTCTCAGGAAACTGGGGCATTATAGTCACTGTATATGCTAGACAATGTGGTCAAAGAAAAGGCAAACCTCTTCATACAATGTATGTCTAGACTACAAAGCTATTCCAGGATACCGGAGGTCTCCTGGGAAAGCTCTGCTGCGTCCAAGGAACGTGTCTGCTTTTCCAAAAAAAATTCGGAAAAGCAGACGAGTTTTTTTCAGCATCCCTGTAAACCTTGTTGTACAAGGAAAAAGGGATGTTCTGAAAGAGGATTTTTTCTGACATTTGGCTTCGTGTAGACAGGCCAAATGTCGGAAAAGCCTCTTTCGGAAGAAAAGTGGAAAAAAATATGCAATTCATGGTTCGCAATGTGAGTATCTGTTTCCAACTTTTCTTTGCTGTGTAGACACAGCCCCAACGACCTTCCACATAGATTAGCAAGTAGATCTGAGTGAAATTTTTTAGCCAAAATTATTTTTCAACAAAAATTTTGTACTGTATTTGTTAACACTGAAATGTTTAATTAATTTGTGTAATTTCTACTTAAATGATATTGGTTTAAAAATCACAACCCTAAAATATATTTTAAAAACTGAAAAAATTTGTTTCAACATTTTTTAAACAAAACGTTTCAATTTTTTGGTTCAAAATGACTGTTTAAAATATTTTTTTTAATCAAAAACATTTGTAAATAGTAAAACCAAAGCAGGATGTTTTGACTGAGTCAAATGACAATGCATTTAATGCAGCCTGAAATTAACTTTTGACTTTTCAATTTGCTAGAAATTTTGAAATATTTTGTTTTCAGTTCACCTTGAAAATAATTTTTCTTCAATTTTTCAGAATAACCAGTGAACTGAAAAATATGTTATTGTCATAGCTTTTCTGGCTAAACAGTTCTTATTTTTCTTCTGGGCCCTTCTTGAACAGAGATGTGTGATCATTTACATTTTGTAAAAGGGGAAAAAAGGGAAAGGCAGTAGGTCATAATGACAGGGTAGGCATAAAACTGTAGATTTTCTATGCCAAAACAAATAAGTTTATACTTTAATACTTGTTCTTTGCATTACCAATAACTGAAAAATAAAATAATTCCCTGAATACTCCTAAACATTTTTGCCTTTCAAAAGAATGTGTGATAAATCTAAGTGTTAACAAGCTGATACTCTTGTATAGCAACAATGAAGTAAACTGTTGAACCCCGGGATAAATCCTGTGCATGTTGTTTTCAATTACTGTAATGGGGAACTCTTCTTGAGTATTCCAGGGATGAATTTTGGCTTCACTTTTTAAAAATTATGTAGATATTTTAAATAAAAAACAATTACTTAGCTGGAGAAAGGCAGTCAGTCTATTCATCACTGTTGGCACACTAAAATGATAATTTATGGTTTCTAGGAAAACTGCCCTTTAGTCCACTTGTTTAAAATATTGTGTATAGAATTTTTAATTTTTCTTGCAGAATTCTTAATTTTTTGGCACAAAATTCCCTTAGGATTAAGTTGCCCAATGACATTTTAAAAGTAGAATCCTAAAGCCCTGACTCTACACATTTATTCCCATGTTACTTCTACTTCAGAAACTAACAATGGATTGATATTTATGGTAGAAGTCTATGTCCCTAGCACAAACTTTCTATGAAAAAAGAGTTTCTGATATTCTTACCAGGAATTTTCTTGGCCCAACCAATCATGTGAACCAATTCTTTGTCTGCAAGTTTTGTCAAAGACATCATCATGGAGGCTTCTGTAAATGGCTTGTTGGGGCGACTCACCAGCAACACATTAGGAGGTTCAGCTTCAAGTAATGTTAAAACAAACTGTTCAGGATTAAGTGCACTAAGAAGGATTTCTTTCACTCGAGTTGCATTTTCACTATTTTTTTTAGCTTTGCCACTGCAATGCGCTTGATCTTCTGAATTCCGATGACGGCGTATGATACGATACCCACAACGGTCTCTTCTTGAACCTGAGACAAAAAAAAAGTTACATTGTTTCATTAACTATTTTTCCACCACAGTATTACATAAATCCTAAGCTTCAGAGGGGTAGCCGAGTTAGTCTGTACAGGATAAACTTAAAAAACAACAAATAGTCTGGTAGCACTTTAAAGACTAACAAAACATGTAGATGGTATCTGAGTTTTTGTGGGCACAGCCCACTTCTTGATATGATCAGAGTATTGGATGAAGAAGTGGGCTGTGCACACAAAAGCTCATGATACCATCAGGGGTGGCCCGTGACTATAGGCCGACTCGGCCATCACCTAGAGTACCGCCTTCAACGGCGTGCAATCATGATGTCACGAGGTGCCCAATGATGACATCACCCCATTGACAGCCATGCAGGCGGGGGCATCGATCATACGTTCTGCCTGGGGTGCCAGTTGCCGCAGCCACTCCTAGATACCATCTACATGTTTTGCTAGTCTTTAAAGTACTACCAGACTATTTTAAATGAATCCTAAGGAGAGACAACTAATAACAAGTACATTCCACAACAAAACAAAATGTTTCCTTCTTGTTATCACTCTAGTTACTGCTAACTGGGGGTAGCTGTATGAATCTAGGGTTTTGCTATTTAAAAATCAGAGGTATATTTAAATGTTTTATCAGAAGATATTCCTAAACTGAAATTCTTGGGTACCATAATGCTTATTTTCCTAAAATAAGTTTAAAAAATACACTAAATTGATTAGAAGTCAGGTTTTTGTTTTAGAACTATCAAAATGTTTTCTCAGTCTGTGGGTATCTGTCAAGGTACTGATATATACGAATAAGCTGTGCTAGTATTAGATGTATTTTGGGTCACTGAAGCTCAACCAACTGCGCAATATACTTTTACCAAGATGACAACACCTGGCAACAGTCATTTACTTTGGTTTTTTGTTTTTGTGGGTTTTTTTAAGCAGAATTTTCTTCAAATACCCTCACTCAATCTACAAGACTCTCTTTAATCACTACAAGATAAATTTCATACTACAGGTTGGACCTCTCTGGCCTGGCACCCTCAGAACCTGACCGGTCCCAGACGAGAAAATTTGGCAGACCATGGGTGGTCTTCTATTACTGGCCCTCTAGCCTACCACCCCTGCCCGCTGCCAGCCTCAGCCCCTCCCCTCCTTGCCAGGTTGCCATGCTATTGCAGCCCCAGCAGCCTGAGCTGCTATATGCCTATTCCCGGACCTGCTACCAGGGCTGCTGCAGCAGCTGCACCCCCGACACCAGCCCCATTACTGCGGCTGCCACAGCTGGCCTGGCCCCACTACTGGGGCTGCTGTGGCCCTGGATACACTACTGGGGCTCAGGCTCCTGCCCCAGTACCAGCCCCAGTCTTACTGCTGCCAGCTGCCAGCCCTCTTGGTACTGGGCTCCCAGCTAGAACCCCCTAGTCCAGGAACAGACCAGAGAGTCCCAGTTTTGGGAGGTCCAACCTGTAACAAGTTCCACTCTTTTCTCATTGTCAGAGAGTAATAAGATTCCTTTATGTTATGAGATGGAATAGAAAGCACTTGTTACCACTCCTCCTCTACTCACTCACTCACTCTCTCTCCACCCATAGACGTTAGTGATCCCCTTTCACATTTAAATGCAAACTAGTTTTTATCAATAGGTCATTGTTTAATTTAGAGTATGCCAGGGACCTTGACTTGACTTGACCTTCATTTCAAATACATGTAACATTAACCATCAAAAGATCAAATAAATAAATCTTCCAATGTATCAGATATAATCACAGTACAAATATTGCTTGGCCATAGTATTAATGCAAATATTATCAAGCATATTGCCACTGGACAAATATGAAGAAATAAAATAGGATCTGCTATATTAATTCATTTAAAACTGTGGGACAGTACTACGACTGTTTGTTATGTTTTTTCCTTTTATATTCTAAGATGTAGAACCCAGTGCAAATTTTCAATTCTTCATCTAACCTTGGAGGTATAATGATTATTTTTAGCATAATGTCTCAAAAGGAGAAGGGGGCAGTTGTGAATTCTTTTGTTTTGTTTTCAAGAGTTAATCTTTAGCACTGTCAAAAGAGTTGGCAGCAGGCTACAAAAATAATATAAGCCCTGAGTTCTGTCACCATTTTAAGCATAAAAGCAAATGAAAAAATTATCTACTCTGGTGTGACTTGCAAGTTTTGGAAAGCCTGTAGTGTATTTACTGAAGAGTTAGCACAATGAGGCACAACTAAATATACATTTCTGTATTCCCATGAGTTAAGAATTCTGATCAAGTTAAATACTTAGCAAATGGTAGGTGAAATTTAATGTTGATAAATGCAAATGCATTGGAAAACATGATCCTAGCTGTGACTATAAAATGATGGGTTCTAATTTGTTACCACTCAAGAAAGAGATCTTGAAGTCATTGTGGTTAGCTCTCTGAAAACATTCACTCAATGTTCAGCAGCAGCCAAAAAAGCAAACAGAATGTTGGGAATTATTAAAGGATAATACAACGGAAAATAACACATTGCCTGTATATATATCTACATTTTGAATACTGCATGCACATGTAGTTGCCCCATCTCAATATATATATATATATATATATAGGAATTGGAAAAAGTACAGAAAAGGGCAACAAAAATGATTAGGAATTCGGAATGTCTTCAGCATAAGGAGAAAATAATAAGACTGGGACTTTTCAGCTTGGAAAAGAGATGACTATGACTGAAGACTATAAAATCATGATTGGTATAGAGACAGTAGATAAGGAAGAGCTATTTACTCCTCAGAACACAAGAACTAGGGGATACCAAATGAAATGAATAGGCACCAGGTTAAAAAGAAACAAAAGGAAATATTTCTTCACACAACACATAGTCAACCTGTGGAATTCTTTACTAGAAGATGTTGTGAAGGCCAAAACTATAAATTCATGGAGGAGAAGTTTATCAATGGCTATTAGACAGGATGGGCAGGGTTGGTGTCCCTAGCCTCCATTTGCCAGAAGCTGGGTATGAACAACAAGGAACGCACTTAATGATTACCTGTTCTGTTCATTCATTCAGTGGCACTTGATACTGGTCAATGCCAGAAGACAGGAGACTTAACTTTTTATTTGACCCAGTATAACAGTTCTTATGTCCTTACACAACCATGTGCAGATGACAACAGGAAGACACGCGCACACTCAGTACACGCTCTGTATATGCTGGGGCTTCTGTGGGCCAATCGAGTCCTCAACATAAGTTAGAGCAACACTACCACAACCATATCTCCTGTGCCAAAGTTCCTGTGGGGAGGAGTAGGGACAATTTTGCACTCAATGCATCTCTCCATTTGTCAGGATATTATGGTGATGTTATAGACCCTTCATTTTGGTGGAACAACACACTCCTACAGGCTCCTACTCTATATAGAATTGTATAACCTATATTAAAGGATGTTCATGTTTTTAAAAAATAGGTCAACTTTGACCCAATGTAGTCACACTGGGTGATAACAAATTTGGCCTACTGAATTTAGAGTTCAGGTAAGTGTCCAAATTGCCAATTTAATAAGCACTATTTGAGGAGCTTTGCTTCATCTGTTCTACAATTATTCTCCACAGTGGATTTACCACTGAACTTTCATCCAGATATTCTATTAAATTCTTCATTCCATGTAAAGTATGTAACAGAATTTGTGTTAAGACTAATGTTCCTTTTCAGTTAGTTACTATTTAATATGTTTTCCTATATGTGTGTGTATTCTACTCCTTACCCCCGTACTTTCATACAAATATTGATATTCATGGGCTGTATTAACACTATGCAACTGTTAGTTTTTCCTACAAAGAAACAAGATATTTTAAATTACTTTAGAATGAAATATTCAAATAATTCAAATTTTATTTCATCATTGCTTGTCCTTTAAAATATAATAATATTAATATTTGTGCTCTGTTTCAAACATAACAGCAAAACTAATATTTCATTTCAACAAAACCTAATCTGTGTCCAGTGCACAATATCAAAATAGGATAGAAAAGTTAAGATGACATTTCTCCTTAAAAGGCCTCTTGTAATCCACAAATATACTTTGTGAGAGTGAAAAAAAATGGAACACAGGGTATTGCATTATAATTTGTATTTAGTTTAATTATCTGAAATTGTCATAATAGACAAAGGGTTATTCCCATATCATTGCATTTGGAATGCAGATCTTCAGTAATTAACAGGATGCAGTTTAATTCAGTTTTAAAATTTATTTTGCTTGAATTTGAAAAAGGGATTATAGAAAAATATGACTAACAATATAACATTTAGATCAGCTAAGTTAATTAACAAGTCATGATACAGCACCTTTTAAGTTGATCAAATGCTGTTTTAAAATATTAATACAGCTTCCATGGTTTTCTCTGAAATATAGTGCACTCTTAATAATTTATCCTATATTTTCATCTACAGCTCATTAAATACTTGACAGTGTGCATTAGCCCAGTTTTACATTTGGCTTATGTGAGTACAGATATCTGAAGTAATTTGAATAAAAATCTTGCAAACTAGCAAATAACACATTGACATACAGAGATCAGCCTTTTTCCTGTCTCTGCCACAAACTTTCTATGTAACCTTTGGCTGTAACTTTCTATGTAACCTTTCTATGTAACTTTCTATGTAGCCTTTCCCCATTTATAATCTAGAAAATGCAAATAATACTCAGAGAAGGTGTTTGGGTAAAATATTCCAAGGTCAGTCATTTTGCCATTTTTCCTTTTGCAGAAGAAAGCTGTCATTAACAACTCCACAATAAGAACACTGTTTTACACATTGCTTGGGACACAGCATAACAGTTAGTCCCCAGAGTAGAACAGACACATCATATTAAATAAGTTATTCAAATTATCTCTTTTGTTCACTAATTGACTATGAACGAATTACACATTTTTCTAATTCTTTCATTATTTAATTTCTTCAATAAATTATTTTTGCTTTGCAGATCATTTGTATGAGTCATATTTGTCAGTAACA